ATACACATTCTTACTTAATCGACTAGAGTATTACAATTAAAGCTCTTGGTGAGAAGCAAGTTAGGGAGTTTTGAAAATAAGGAAACTCCAGGTAACTCCAGTGAATCATCAAACTCAATTTGCTTTATCAGAATAATATAAATGCATTCACATCGTAGGGAGTTAAGGCATAGCGTAATGTCTAGACTTTCCTTGGTCTTATATTGGAGTTGAACTAATCAATTTGTTCTACGGGCTGCCAAATGGTTGAGATGCTGGGTGAGTTCAGTTGCATTCATTTCAGTCTTCACTTGTGGGTGAATATTTAGGGTGTGTGTGACTATGCACGCGGAAGGTAATTTTGAAAGGAGGGAATTAAACAGAAGTAGAGAAATATCAACGTCTATTTACTGCAAAGTCAGGACGTATTCAGTGCATCGTAGCCTTGTAGAAGATGCCAAGGAAATGGTGATCAGGAAAGTGTGCATTAGGTATCTGGTCTTCGGGTATAGATAGAAATGCACCAGAACAAATATCCAGGCTATGGTCTAAGGAATAAGTTAATTGGATCTATTGGTAATACATTAGGACAGCCGAGATGAAGTAACTAGGAACCAAGAGCACAACAGCTTCAATGCAGAAGTAAGTAGGGTACGACAGAACAAATGAATTAATACAGTCAGTCATGGAACCGGTCTTCGGGGACCTGCTTCCATACGGGGTAGTCCCTCGAGTGGTTTCACCTGCACCTCCGTGCCCCATCTGGTCATATATCTGTGTGGTTTAAAAGCACGCTTGCCACTGCCGATTTTATGCATCATTTGGGCAATTGTCTTTTTCTGGAGAGCTGGTTAAATCAAACCAGTCAGCGCTTTCGTCTACCATAGATTTTTTGCGTACATGATGACCTGGATCACCAGTTGGCGTCATAGGCCATTAAGTGTTTGCTCAGCAGTTCAGATTGGACGGATTTTTAAGTTCAGCACACACTATATATTCATCAGTGGGTTTTTTGACCCGGGTAAACATGTTACTTATAAGCTTCATACAACTACCTCAGGAGATCAGCCCAATAGTAACCAAGGGAATAACAAGAGGATAAGAGAAAATAGTTAAATTACGGGATGGCATTAGCAACGAAATATGTAGCAAAATAGCACGTCTCTCCACATTGGGGATACCATATGATTGGGTATGATAAAAGATTGCAAGAGTTTGGAATAACAGGTAGCATTAATAATGAGTTAGCTTCTCTTTTCAATACGCAATAGCGGATGCAAATTATCCGGATGACATAAGACAGTAGAACATTTACAATACAGGAAGGAGCGATAAATCCAGCGATACACTATTTTGTTTCTCCATGTGGGACTTCACTGTACAATAATAATGGAAATGAGAATAGGAAAGTACAATTGGGAAGAAAGATATGTACAAGCGCTATAAATTATGCTGGCGTGGAGTGAACCTGCATTAAAGATCATATATTGTTTGGACCTGATGAAATTAACACATTTGTAGACACCTGAAAACAGAATGTTTTTATTATCTTCTGCATGTTGAGGTAAGCTCCCAAGCACATTTTAAATTTAATTCGGTTTTCACGCCACTGCTTCCAGTGGTAGATTGTTCCATATGTAAGCATAACTTACCAGGAAGAAGTTGGAGTGAATCTTTAAGTTCCTAAATGTTACAGGTAGTGAGTAGCCCCTATTCCTTGTGAGATAAGTTGGGGAATTTACAAAGTAAGATCTGTTCCGGTCGTGTACATCTGGCAATGTAGAATTTTGTAAAAGTGCGCTTGATTATTTCTGAGGCGCCACAGCCATACAGGGTATATTTTAAGGCAGAAACGGCGGTCTTCATAGTTCGGAACTTTGGACTGGCCAATAAGGAATTTCTTGAAAGAACGCTAAATGTTTTCTAAAGCTACCTGATCCGTTCTACACAGGTGGCTATGGATAATTGTCCAGTACTCCAGCATAGGTCCCACGATACTCATACAGTTTTTCAGTCTCGCTTCAGGCAGAACAAAGGACTTGGTGATATAGAAATTAAATGGCCTTGCCTTTGCTCTCTGAAATGACACATGCTCGGAAAAGTTCAGCGATGCGGAATATATTACTTCAAGTTCCTTAACTGAATAGGAGTTTGGAATGTTTGTACCTGCTAGGGTGTTGGAGCCATCCGATATGCAGTATCCATACTCAAACGCTTGCGATTTTGCAACGGAGAAGTGCATGGGCCAAATTTTACTCCAAGGTTCCAGCATAGAGAAATCCTCATGTGCGTTCTTAACGCCCTACTCAAGGCTATCCGGTGGAAATTAGTAGACGAGTTAAATGGGGTTTTCAAACTGGTATGGTCGTGCATGTTTGATGGAATCACGTATGGTAATTATATACATTAGGAAGAGTAGTGATACAATCACACCGCCTTGGACACCTCCGCTTGCAACTTCTCTTGAGGAGAACAGTTGGATTGGACAGGTGACACAGAATTGCCTCGTGAGAAAGTAGTGTTGTGGATTGTTTATCAGGTTTCACCTTGTTAATAATTGAACATGGTCATTCTAGATAATTCGCTTTAGTGTCTTTTAGGTTGTTGCAATAGGATTAATAGGACGATAATGTGTCATTACAGATCGGGTGCCACCTTTGTGTTTTGGTGCTGTTATCGAGTGCTTCTACTGTAGAGGAAATATCCACAATTTATTGATAATGTGATGACGTTTAATATCAGCAGAGGAATGATTTTGCCTCCATACCTGATGACAGCCGGAGGAATACCATCGGGTCTTGGCTGAAATTACCATTTTATGGAGATTATACCACATGCCTACCGGTCTTATCCCTTCGGGTTAACACTGGATATTGGATGTGTGGATGGAGCTATGGGTGGTGCAGTGCAAGCCACCCATGCATTCTCTTTATGCGCAGGCCTCCTGTGGCTGGCCACAGTGACAGGCAAATCCGAAACCTGATGCCGCCAAGCATACTACACGGAACACCACTCAGGCTCAGGGAAATACTCGAGAGCTCTTCATCTGTCTTCCGATTTAGAAGAGCGTGAGATACACTGATATATGTATTGTATAAGGTTGCATAATAAAAGTTCAACGTTGCACCCTCAGCTAAGTTCATCTGTTGTTGAGCCATCTTCTAATGTCACACTTTGGATTTGATGGGATTGTTTTGGATTCCTCCTGTTGTCATTTCACCAAGATTTATATATTTTGCGGATTTTATAGCGCTGTTTTTCGGTGAGTTCCGCTTTCAGTGTCTGATGACCTAGGTTCAGTACATTCTCAAGAATTTGTAGTAATATGGAAAAGGTATTATTTTGGAATTTTGAGACCTACGGTTCTTTATTTTGGTAGTAATTTTGAAGCACGTCTTGCGTTGGCTACTACTGTTATGGCAGTTGTACCACAGCGTGGGTGTTATTAAGTCGGTACAGGTGATCATATTTTTATAAATGTGTTTTGGCTAGAGTTAGATCTTGTGTTAAGAATAATTTGTCCCAAATCAGGGTACGGAGGAGATTGTTATATTTCATCCAGTCAAGGAGATGGATGCAGCTAGTATGTTTTTCAGTCACTCGTAGTTTGTTTGCTATATTAATATCCACGTTGCATAGCACAATATTATGAACGCAGCCCATTTGTGGGTTGTCAGTATTGACGAACACTGACGGAATTCATGGTACTTATCAGTTCTTATATGATGACTGTTCTTATACGTTGATTAATTTGTTCAGTCCAACGATTGATCTGAATGGTACGGATTATTCCCATGAGGCTCCCTGACACCTCTAGTGTAGGTGTCGTTCAGTCAGTACGCGGAATCTTGAAGTCTCCACATAGAAACTGGTTAAAAGTTACTGCAAAAGCAAACATATTGGCTAATCCATATTATATATGTATGTATGATGAATTAGGTACCGTATTCACAACTTATTAGAAACAAACGCTAATCGAAACTTTTAATTCCCCCCACTTTTGTCACGCAACCTAAGCCATAATTAAGGTGTGCGTATCCAACGCACTGCACCGCTTTCCACCCACCGGTAGTATACGATCTGAATGGATGTGATCCAAGTATACTGCGGCCAGAAGTTGAAAGGTTCATTTGGTTTAACCTATAGTGACTAATGAGCAACCGGATGGTCACTACAAAGGAAGGCTTAATTTCGTTAGCGGGGACATAAAGTATAATCCAGAACGCTATTCAGTATAGATCTTGACGCTCGTCCAGTTGAGTAAAATGGATATGGCCAACATTTCGTGCTTCGGATAAACAACACTTCAGTCCCAAACATTTATTTGTATTCCCTTAAACCAACCGCAAATTTGTTGTTGCCGCAGATTCGATCGACAGATAATTCACTTTTGGAGCCCACTTGGTGAATCTTCGGAGCGCAGCAGCGTGCTTCAAAATTACATCCGCACCGACGACACGTTGCTATGTCCTACATGGATCTGACGTAGAGCTGCCAACTGGAAACGCTTTTGTTGCAAGTAATAATTTATACCAACTAACATGGAGCTCAGTTTAAGTGGAACCATTTTCTCAAACTCATCAGTTGGACAGCGTAAAGCAGAAAATGTTGCTTCAAAAGAGGACATTTTGCAATGAATCGCGTACCAAATTTGACAAACGTGTAAGTTCCTTGATTCCCGCATTGTCTCCTCTTATTCTGAAACAGCTACACAAAACAGATCCTACATCTTCTGATAGTGTCGACCTAATTTGCAGTCTGTATATGGCCGGCCAGATCGTTGCAAACCGACGCCCAGAAACATCTTCCGGGGGTGATGCAATTAATTATCTTTGAATAACTATGTTGCGTTTAGATTCAGCAGTTCACTTCTCAGTAGCCAAGGTGTCAGAACATCGCATGGATTTTGTCGTGCAACTATTTTCAGAAAGCATTAAGGCACTAAGCAGCTGGTATATTTTTGTTACATGTGAGTCACTCGATTTTATTCCAATATCATTTCTCTAGTCTAATGTGATGTGATGGACGTCTGCGGAACACGGGAATTGGCAGAACAATTCCGAATGGAAACTTCAATGATGATGATAACTGAAAGTGAAGCAAAAGAGGACAAGGTATTTTCTTTCGTTTGATTTAAACCATACCGTCCTAACTACGATATGTGCTAGGATTCCAAATGTCAATTGCAAGAGTGCTACTCTAATACCTCGAACAGGAGAAACTGGAATCCCTCTGTATGTATTCCACTTCAGCAGCTTACTGCCCGAAGTACTAAAGTAGAAAATAATCATCACGTTTGTTGTATGCAAAATTGTCGCCAAGTTTCCTGGAGGAATCAAACGGATTGCTCAGACCTCGAAAGACGAAAAACGGAACACCTGTCATTAAAACCTTTGAAATATGAACTAGAGGCTTTATGGAATGAGAACTAGGTTAGTAACGTGGTGACTAAAATGACTATACATCTCGTCTTCATCATCAGTTATCTGGAAACGGCCAAGTTATTAAAGGGTTTTAAGGAAAATGCCACACTTTCCTATTTCACATCAGGTTCAGATAAGCCGCGTACAACTACTGGCAGCGTGGATCCTCTAAGTCTATATTCTCGCGGTTTAGTTACAATCGTTCACACTTTTGGTACGTACGTATAGTGGGAAGGCCGTTTGTTTCTCGGTGCGTTTCGCATATTTAGTTAAATTTTGTTAAAGGAAGCAATCAGAAGCGATTGTCATTACCTTTCCGAGGCTTCTTACTAACATTCGTTTCATACTGAGCTACGTGGGTCAAAACGTTAAGGCAGTCCTCGGGTCAGCCCAGCTTTTGTGGGTAAGCTGATACCTAGATACTGGTAATGATAGAGATTACATGAACTTTGTTCATACATCTCCAGCCAGTGTTAGATGCGCATTTCTCAAAAACCATCCGGGTATATCTTGTCTTTGTTATTTAGCTGCATGTAACACGCTATCTACCAACACAATGTGAATGCCACTGTCGAAAATCATATTGCGTATTGATGACACAATTAAGTCAAACGCATACAAAAGAAATGCTGATTGACTTTAATCACTGTGTGTTAGATTAGTTTTGACTATGCCCAACGGGTAACCTGACAAGTTTTATCTCGATTACCAACTGGAGGGGCTTACCATTGGATGATGCAGGTGACGGGACGAAAAGGTGTGCCTTTATGAAACATGTTTATTATGTCCTAAACTGTTTACCCTCTTAGCCATCAATTGGTGAAGCCCTGCAAACACTGGCCCAATGCATAACAGATCAACCTGCTTCTGATATAATGGTAAGTTCTACCATAAATAATGTGGCTCTTTTTGTAAAGCTTTGCATTTGGTGCTGAATAAAAATATTCACTCGTTTTAACATGTTGCTTATTTACCAATTACTTATTTTCTAGTCTGCACATTCTCGGAATACACTGAAACAACTTCAGTTCAGTAAGCTTGAGAGACAAACGAAATCACTGTGGAATAAAATCAAGCTAACTGTTGATTCGGTTCAAGTGCATACTCTGTCTTGGGTGCAATTATGCTGCTGTAACCGGAGGCCCCTAATGAGCAACGAGTCAATTGTAGCCAAACTGACCTATCACAAACAATTGTCTAATGGAGGATAAAATTTATCAAGGTAACTTTCCATCAATATGTCATCTGAATGATAAATCAATATCTTAGTAATGGTTCCGTTGTTAAAAGCATCAAACAGCTATTAAGTGTGATGAAAGCAAGTTATTTCACTAATGTGCTATCAACTTGCTTTCCTAAACGATTTATCGGTTTTGGCATATACCGGTATGGATTCGGTTTAGGTCCGCAATTCCTAAATGTTACCCGTCGAAACACAGGATATACCATTGGTGTCCGGAATGCCTATCACAATGGCCTTCGAAGGACAGTCCTAGGAATATGTACTCACCCAGGGACCATGGTTGGCTGGCGTTGCGCCACACACAGTTCCATCCACACACCTCAAGCGCAATGTAAATAAATAAATAAATAAATTTTATTCTCGACAACGCGAGGCACACCTTTACAGGCATGATCATATTTAGCTAACATAGTGTGATCAAATTGTACAAAAGGACATGTTTGGCATAACAGTGTATGTAAGTATATGGGTGTATATACGTATGTAATTGTGTAGGAATGTAGCTTGTGTGTTTGAATGCGCCGCAGAATTTTTGACTGTTTGTTATCGTCAGGAATGTGAGAATAAGCGATTGCTTTTCGTGGGTTGGATAGCATTTTCCGAATATCCACTGGCCAATGACTTTAGTTTGTGGCGAGTCACATCCGCTACGTCGCGGTGTTGTTAAGCAGACATTTGTGGCTTTTTATAGGGAGAACGCTTGCCAAGCGAAAACCCACCACGTCCTGGAACACTGCCGCCGAACTATTTGCTGGAACGGGTTAAACCCGAAGCACGCAGCTGGCACCACGAGGAGGTTGTTCGGCTAGCCAGCCAAAGGAATAAAACCAGTAAGCCGGTGCATGTGAACCACGCCTTGTCTTATCAACGGAGCTGACGCACATTTCTCCAAAATGTTCAGCAGCAGCAGTCCTGTAAATATGGTTTGAAATCATGTGTATCAGAAGTATATAACAAAATGGAGCAAAGAAAATCAATTGGATTTCGTCAGATTTAGTGTAAGGCGGAACAAGCTAACCTTAAGACACTCCCACCAAATTACGTTTAGGTGGCGTAATATGTAAAACCTCATCCTTAGCATGAGATCGTACTTTATAAATATTCGCTGTTAAAAAGAAGAATATGTACTTATTAGATTAGGTGCAGACATACGCACACAATGCCTTCATGTTGCTAAACGCTTACTCATCAAACACATCTGTTCATATATTTTTCAAATATTACGAGGAATCAGTTACTTGCGTCCACATGACGTGTGCTCTTTTAGTAATACACATATTGAGCTACGTCACAGTTGGCGGTTCAATCAGAGGACATTAAATAATGGTAGATGACTCAATCCGGCTCGTTCTATGTTTATATAAATGGATCAATTTTATTCTCTTATTACCTTTGCATTTGAGTAATGTGTGGCTGGCTATTGGAACGCTATCAATTATCACGGTTTGGAAATCTACCGTTGTTGCCCCCCAACACCTGCAACGCGATATGCGTGTTCGCATTATGATGAGTTACCACGGGGTGCTTGTCGATAGATAATGTAGGGTTCCAGATCATCCACGGAAGCACTTTGTATTGTTGCCTCATCCACGTAACTGCGCGTGAACTGAGAAGCAATGTGAGAAACCGAACTACGTGATGGGATAGTCTAACGGATATGCCGAAGATGACCTAAATTGGCGTGTATGGTTTGAACTGCGCTATCGTGTACGTGCATAATAAGACGGCCGAAGTGAGTGTTTGACACCATGTACCATGTGGTCTTCTTGAACAGCAAGAACATCCAAATAGTAATCGGGTGTTGCTCGCCCGGAAACACTGCACTAATTTGACGCGTTTCGAAGTTAGTACATCTCATCAGATTGATTTAACAAACGTCGAACCCGGGACCATTGGAATGTTATTTGTGACCGCTACCCCTAAGTCACCGGGTCACGACGGGCAACGCTTGGCACAACGGTGTAATGAAAAAAGCTGACGGTCAATTTTACAGTGCACTTTGTCTGGATAGATTGCGACGAGCAATCTCAATGTGGACCGCGATTCCCATTGAAGTTAACCTTGGTTTTTCGATCAAGAGGACCGTAGATGATGAAAACAGCAATTGGGTGTTACTCATCCCCAACCTGCTATTTCCTTTTTGGCGAGTTGCACAAATAATTTCTCAGTAATATTACTTTCAACTAACTTCACCTCTTGACAGTTCAGTAAATTAGAGGAGGTTGCTGCACGTTACATACACACAACTGCTCAACATGCACAAAATTCACCCAGCGCTCTGTTCTATGACGATATGTTAAAGTATACTCAATTCATTCTATTCACTAGTTGTCTGAGTAACATTCGATAAGTGATACCAACTACTATATTTTTCAGCCAGCTATCAGTCATGCACTGTGCACCCTAGCTCAGTGGGTATTCAATACACCGCAGCAGTCGTCAGAGGTAAGTTATGGGACGATAGAACTAAAAGCTCTTTCACTTCAATTCTATGTAAATCATTTGGATCACATTTGTTTTGATGCTGTAACCTACTTAACTATGTGATTTGTTTTATTATCTGCAGGTCTCAAACTCTCCATCCAGTGCACGTCATGCACTAGAAGAAAACTAAGTGTACTTTGTAAGTGAAGTAAAAGCTAGAATAAAATGCGATAATACTGGGTTTGATAAGGAAATTTTCAGTACGGTGAAGAGTATATCACATTAAAAGTAGTCCACACTGAACTTAAGTTTCGTATCCTGCTAACAGCGTGAGTAATATTTGATAACTCTGACATGTGACTGACAGCTATGACAAACATTACTCATCATGACTTATCAACATGTTATTACACACTAATGTCAAAGCGCATTAATGAGCACCTTCCACGCTGGTTGCGTCGAGGCGGTACCGGGGCTATAACTAGCTCTGTTATGGCTCATCTAGTTGGTAGTGGGAATGAAGTTGATCCAGTCCGCGCCTTTCGAATACTCAACAAGGTTCCACCACTCCAATCGAAAGGCCTGCGTGTCCGCACCCTCGCTACAGCTGAGGCGATCAGTATTCGGTTGTATCAGCCGCTTTTGTGTTCACAAAAGAAACTGATCAAAGCTCTTAAGTTACCCTGGCCAGATAAACTGGACGATTCGGAGGCCAGAAGCAATCAGTTGACTACATCTTTGCCCTAGTTTGCACCTAACGTTTACGTTTATTGCTGTTTTATGCCCTTGGTTGGCACGTGATCCAATTTTATTTGAACTGATCGAAACCACTGTTACTTCCATTGCTCTTTACCAGTTGAATGTAAAGGTCTGACGGTGAATACATTGAAAACTAGTATTTACCTTCGGTCCGTTTTTCTTAATGATAAAAATCTAACGTCCCGCTTCTAACGGCAGCATTGTTGTCTCTCCTCCTGAGTAGTGCAAACAGGTAAGAGACCGATCAACTAATGCAGTGTTTCGAACGAGCCACACTAAACATTCGCCTGATTTATACGCGGTTCCATTAGTAGAATTAACGGGAATTCACTTCAACGCTAATGATCCAACTGATTGATATCGCATTGGGATTACAAAATGGACTCATCCCTTAATCTTCTGCCTGCTTCCACTGATCGATTATACGATATGTGGTCAGATAACCACCCACCCATCGTTTTCTAATGTCCGGCTGGACACGTTGCGATTGCTAACCGCATGGCCACATGCACGCTTTGTTTATCAGATGTTAACCCACGATTTCCTGATGTAAGCAAAACTATAGTGGAACAGTTCTCGTGCTAACAATGCTGGTTTTGATTTTTCACGACATATTTTGATTACCTCAAACATCATTGCGTCAATCCGGAGGTATATTTGATTGCAAAGGCTGGAGATTTTGCCTCGATTTATATAATGGTATGCAGTGATAGATGTCGTAGCCTTTAACGATTTGAGCGTAGCGCCTGCCGAATAGGCATTCTAAGGCGGATCAAGGTTGTTAAAGTGGATCGAATGTACAAAATAGACAACCAAAAGCTTAGTTCGGTCAACTTAAGTAAGTACGCCTAATAAATCGTGGTAAATTACCTTAGGTAAAACCCGGTTTAGGCCAATTAGTAAAGTTTGCAGAGGAAATCTCATTAATAGAAGAAAGTGGCGAACGCTGAACTATACAGGAATATATAGTACAAATGCATCCTGACGGGTTAGACCAATCATTGCTCATCAAACGAACCGTAATACGACAAACTTAGCTCCGGCAGTGCATTCAACTAAATATGGGAGGCAGGGGAAATAGGGGTACGCAGTGTAAACTACTCATATATAGGATAAGTAGAAAAGGATTTCAAATATCGCACCCAACGGCTGTCACCCTATAATGTTTTGAGCTCGGGATCAGCAATGGCATAAAAACAAGTGGTAAAGCGAGAATAAGTGTTACTTAACTATTTCCGGCGCTATATAGGATAGTTTTAATGGTAGGCGCGAGTCTAAGCGAAGAGGAATCTCTAAGAAAAGGTATGTTTATTCCAAAGTTAAAACTAAACAACTGGGGTTCATAAAAGTTTTCTAACCTAGTATACGTTATATGTATAAATATCCATATATAATATTTAGCCAGAAAACAGCTGGATGTCATGCACAATAGTATAAAGATGGCAACAAATGTTTGGTCACTATGCATGAGCTTAGATAACTTAATCTGAGAACTCGAGCTTACTAGCTTCTGTCCGATATCGTCATGTCAGTGAAGCAGTTTCTCGTTCTGTGACACAGAATGTCGTTCCTACAATATCATTATGCCTTTTGTCTTTCAGTTACCTCGGTTGAAATGCAGATTCCTGTGTAATCACTGCTTCGACCCTATTGGCTCGAATTGTTATTAAACGGCATTATATTGCTCCTTTCCAATACATTATATAATTCACGCGATGTACGATGCGTCGTGATAACAATAAAATTTTAATGTGCCTACTTTGTTATTCTTGGCAGGACACTTAT